AAGGTATTACAGTAGGAAGCGAAATAGTGACTCCAGAAAAGTTCACTTAGGCACCTGAGTTAAAGGAGGTTAAGATGGCGCTCAGTCACAAGTACAAATTTTAGGACAAATGCATGGCTTAGCATACAGGCTAGGGCAAAAAGTTAATGACTAATTTGCCAAGCAATGGGATAGATAGAAACACTAGCAGATACTAGGAATCTTTGATGAACGGGAGAGAGGCATTTTATTATCTTAGTTATGGCAATAGTTTTGTAAATATAAAAATACTTCCAAATGTATCAAACTGTATACTTTATAAATACACCACTATTGTATGCCTTAAATCCTTAAATCACCTTCTTAAAAAAATAAAGTAATCGAATGGGTCAAAAAAGAAAAACAAAACTATCAAAGCCTAGGTGCAGTACATAATAAACTAAGTATGCTCAATTGGCCTGACCCTTGCACAGCTTTCACTTATTGTAACAAAACAGATCAAACAAGCCCATAGTGGTGTGATTTGCTGATGCATGAACTGACTTTGCCTGCAATTATCTGAAGAATTCTGATCACAGACAATGATGTCACAGAACGGATTAGCAAAGGTTGTGTCTTCCTGAGCAGGGCACAGATGCTGTATTCCAAGAGTTCTCATAGTCATTTCTTTCATGTGTTTATCCTGACCAATACAAGACAATCCATCCTGCATTTCTGAAAGACTATAGAAAATGATTTGTATGCTACCAGAACAGCCCATCTCTCTCTGGCAGACTCCTTAAATCTAAGCTCAAGAGACCCATGTAAAATCTGAGGAGTCATTTACATACTTAGAGTGATAGAGGTTGTATTATTTTCAAACCAAAGTTCTTGAATCTGGCTTCCCAGGTACTCTGTCTAAGGCTGGAACCTCACAGAAGAACCTCATCAGAAGTCACAAGGAATCGGAACACAGAGAAGCTGTTGGATAGTTGGCGTCTTAGTTGTTGAGCATGCCCATCCTAACTGTACCCTGTAGGCTACCAGGCAGAGACTCCCTCTCTCCTGAGTGGTACTTAAACGAGCCAAGTGTTAATTCTCTTTTTCTACTTATATACACATCATTGATCCTTCCTCTGGTAAATATCATTTGTGTAGATTTCCCAACACAGTTACTCAGCTTGTAGCCAGGGATTTGTGAGAATGAAAACTGTTCCAACTTTGTGAAGCTTTTCCTTCTCTGTATTCTGGTACAGCAAATACTACCTTTACAAATTTAAGGAGAACTTTACATATATGTGTATACATGTGTGTGTATGTGTGTGTGTATATATCAATATTTCTAACATCCATGTACTCAGAGTAGTATGTATCAAATAAAATAATTTACGCTCTACAAGTTAATCATTCTAATGCATAATTATCACATTCTGAAACATTGACAGTAAACAGCAGACATAGTAACTAACATGACTGTCCAACAATCAAAACATTTTACCTGAATATTTCAGTTATCTGACCTTGCTTGTGAAGTTTGCATGTTCCTGTAGGAAGATAAAGCCTTTATTGTAGGTGGGTGTTAGTCCACATGGCTGACAAGGAGACGTTGTCATGACTACAAATGTGAATGTGCACAGAGAGACGTTAACAGAACACACATGAACAGCTAAGGCTACACTCACTGGTCAGTACTCCAGGGAAGCGCTCCAGAAGCCTGTGAAAGCTAGGGTCCTTAAAAGTCTTTGATTCCATGAATGATAAAGGATGAAATTATGAAATTATTGGGGGAGAGAATTTAACCAAAGGTTTCAATATCTTCTATCCATTGACCAGGAAATATCAAGTTGCAGCTCTTTCTGGTGAGGTGGTTTTCAAAGCACATCAAAGTCTTGATCTTCACAAATAGCACAGTCACAGAGGGATGTGAGAAGTACAGCCCATACCAAATCCCTTGCATGAACCACCTGGGGCATTTCCAGTAAAGAGAAGCAAATGAGGAAATCATCTCTTTTTTCTTTTAATACCACTATGAAGGAATAGATTGCCTCCGAATAATTCACTAAGTGATAACCTGTCAGTATTCTTAGAGTAAACACAGATTCACTAAGTTATAACCTGTTAGTATTCTTAGAGTAAACACAGAGCACTGCAGGGGGCTCCGGAGATGGTGCATAAGGCAAAAAGACTGTTGCCGTGCAAGCATTGAGACCTGAGTTTGAATCCTTAGGATCTATAACTTTAGATCTCATATAAGGAGAGTCCCTGGAAGCTTGGGCCAGTAGCTCTAACATACAGACAGACAACAAAAGAGACCCCATCATAAATAAGGTGGAGGCCAAAGACTGCTACATGACTTTGTGAAAACACACACACACACACACACACACACACACACACACACACACACACACACACACACACACTGGTTGATCACGGACATTATTAGGCTGAGATGAATGCCAATAGCTTGCCCTGGATTTTGAATGTTGTCCTTGCTTATATAATTTAGCAAATGATGGGGGAGACTGCATATTTACTGCATTATCTAAAACCTAAACCTAACTCAGAGCCTAAAGATAAGTCTTCATGATACAAAAATGAAGAAGCTCTCCTCCATTGCATGAACAACTGTGCAGGATACGTCACGTAACAGATCCTCTAACAAATGTCATTGCCCAGGACATCAGAACAGGTACTGCTTAGAGACTGTAGTGTGTGCTACCTTCCCTAAGAACCCTGTAGTTCTTTGCTTCGGAATGCACTATGGGGAATGTGAGGTGGTCAATGTGAAGGTGCTTACTCAGCACATGTGAGTGGGATGTGATTCAGATGAGGCACTCTCGTCACCAGCTATGCTTGTGTCTTATCTACACATACCTTGTAGGGAAATCACTGACAACTCTGAGCCACCCTGGCTCACCTACTTAGAAATTTGTAGGGCTTTCCGGGCAGCAAACCCCACAATAATGCTTTGGCTATGCTTTGGCTACAATTCGCAAACCTCATCTACCTTGGGATGCCCTGCAGGGAACACCAAGTTAGAAGCTTTCATGGCTTCTCCACATGAGAATCTACAGAGGAAGGAGAAACTGTTCAGGGAGCTGCAGTCCACACAAATCCCCCATTAGCCCTAGAGATGATCCACTTGGAAAATGGCAATATTTTTGTATGCTGGCCTCAAAGTCCCTGCTTGAAGAATGCTTGTAGCAAAGCTGCATTTCCTTTTGGAGGGTTTTTAGAAGAATGCATGCAGGTAGTAGCCAGTTTTCTCTTCCAGAATAGCAGGGCTATCCGTCAATCTAGTGGCAAGCCACTCATCAAGTTCCCTCGACAAAGGGTTAGGGCAGTGAGCCCTCACAATAATGTGGAAACAGAAATATTACAAAGTAAAGGCTTATAAAATAATAAAAATTCTACTTACTCCGGATACCTCCCTATGCCTTTGGCAAAATACCTTAAGCATTCCACATACGGCGGGCATTGTCTTTATAAGATGGCACCTCATAAAACGGTATTAAATATCACCAACGGGGCTTCATATTTCATCCAGCAGGGTTTAGGCCAGGCATGTTCTATATCACACATTATTAGAATGACATCTACTTTGCAAGTTGTGTACCCAGGAGTCTACCCGGATCACTCATTTCAGCACTCATTCTCAAGGCTTCTGTGCCTTCATAATGCCTAATATGTTTAACTCATTTTGAACAGAAGTCTAAAGCCTGCCACGGCCCTCTGGCCAAAACTGTAGCTGTCAGACAACGGAGCCAGCTTTCAAACATTCTTCATTTATCATTAGTGGTGATGCAGTTGTACAGAAAAAAATGTGCCCAGTGTAGTGAGAGGCTGTCAATTGTTCCCCCCTATAAAACTCCTCTTCTCAAATAGGGACATTTCTCTGTGGAGGCCTTGCCATTACATTTTGTTTCTTTCCCCACAACACTGAATTTATAATGCAAAGAAAATGGGGAACATATTTTTATCGGAATGGCCTCTCTGCTGAGAGATGGATAAGGAGAGCGTCGAGGGCTGCGTCACTGCAGGGTTGGACGTGCCATCTGGGGAAATTAATAGAGTCAACCCAGAAAGTGGGAAAGAGAAAAAGGAGAGGGAAATAGTGCCTACAGTTTTTGTGCTGAGGTCAAATCTGAATATAAAGGTACATGTCTGACAAGCTGGAATTCCTGTTGAACTTGCCGTCTTGTTATCAAAGTAGGACACATACCTACCTTCATAAACAAACTCTCCAACTTGCAGCTCCTTTGGATGCTCCAGAATCATGTGACCATTATCCCACTGTAAATGGTGCTTCTAGAATCAGAATCAAATTGCAGCCCCCAAAGAGATTTCCTAGACATTTGCAGCATTCCAAGAAAACACTGGTAAAAAAAAAAAAAAAAAAAAGTCATGCGTTGTTCGTGGTGGTGGTCCTCCTGACAATGGTGGGCATTGAATTACTGGGCTCATGACATCTGCTGGGATCTGAAGTTTTTCAGTGGCTTTTTTATCTTCTGCCTCTCAAAGATTGCCTCTTCCCATCCAACCTCTCCACCATGCGAGGCACCCTTCCTAGGCTCTGCTAGGAGTAAAAGTGAGGCAATTGAGCTTGAGACGTCTTCAGGTTTGTGCCTGTGATTTCAAAGGGAGACAGAGGACGAGGGCATCAGGGCAGTGACAGCACACACTGACTTCAAAGGAGAGACCTCGGAAGTCTCATTCCCATACTTTAGTCAAAGCCAAGTCATTATCCCATTTCATAGATGAGCAAACATACCTCTGCGCCTGAGGCCATGGACAGAAATCAGTCCTGGGAAGGTGAGGCCATTACCTGCCTGTGCTTTCTGGATATTTTCCAACTTCAAGTTATTTTCCTGCAACAGTAACAGATCTCATGTCAGTAATACCCAAACTTCATAGCAGTGAAGACAACCAAGGAGCCCAAAATAAACAATGCAGTTGACACACTACTGTAAGAACAACAGAGACTTAGGAGGGTATTCGCAGAGAGGCTGGGGAAAGATTCAGTCTCTACTTGCCTTTTTCTCTTCAGAGCCTGATCTTGCCTTTGTTGAAGACATAATCGCCCTCCGAGATGGGTGGTCTGTAGCCTCAGCACCAGAAGATTAGGGAGGCAAATTATCTGTTGAGCAAACAAACTGTCTCAGCCCCATTTCCCCAGCACCCAACTTGTGACATTCCCTGCCCTTTGTGGGGGCCTTCTCTTCTCAGGATAGGGAAAGGAAGCAAGTTCCCATGAACTGGGTATTCTGCACGCTGACCGACACTGCGTGTTTTTAACACCCAGGATATACCATAGTTTCTAGGCTCTGGGTCTGAGGTTTCTTACTCATTTTCTTATGCCCACAGCTACATGTCCAGTTCTAGAACATTCTCTCCTTTCTGACCCCAGTTACTTCTTTCTATGAGTTCATAAAGAATAAGCTGAATAACTTTTCTGGTCTGATACTACCAAACCCTAGCCCAGGAAAAGCCCAGTGATAAAACTGTCCTCATAGCTGCAGCCTCAGGTACAGTCTCCAGATTCCTCCATCTTTAATTTGTGCCTCCTTTCCTCTAAATCACCCTTTGGTCATCCTCTGGCTCACAGGGATGAACAATTGTGTATTCAGAGCATGTGTTCCTTCCAAGCCCCATGTGGAATTTAGGATTTCTAGTGTCAGTGTCCCACCAATGACTTGATCAACTGTAAGGTTTTTTTCTTCTATCCTTTGGCACAGTTTACCCCAACTTAAAGGCTAGCCAGTTAGCAATGGAATGAAACTGCAGATAAAATGATTCAATTGAATTAGGAAACACGACAAATATATGCAACTCATTAAATGCTAGACATGTGTGTGGCCCCATCTCTTTCCATAAAGTGTGCACAGCTTAGTTAAGAGAACAAATGTCTGAGAACTAGGTGTCTAACACTGCAGAACAGGAAAGAAATGAGTGCAAGAAAATAGTAAGAGCAGTCAGAGGTCAAAAGAGCAGACTATGCAGGTCATGAGGGAGGAAGTACTTTATAGACAGCAGGAGGGTTATGCTAAATATGGACAGTCCTGGGGGGCATTCCATGTAGCAGTGACAGCAGGATCAAAGGCTAGGAACTAATTACATTGTTGTCATCAAGATATTTGGAGAAATAGAAGGATCCTGGAGTGGGCTGAGTTTTACTCATCACCTTAGTAATTTGTAGGAAGGAACACACACACACACACACACACACACACATGTTCCTAGGTGGCTCAACAACTTAAAACTGAAAAAAAAAACCAAGTAGCAAATGAATATCCACTCAACTCGTGGCTCTTTTTCTCCCCAGTGTCCATTACCAGGGTTATTGGCCAGCCATAGCAACCAAGAGCCTAGTTCCCTCAATAGATGAACAGGGGGTCAAGGTGAATACCACGGAGTCCTTGAAGACTCGGCTAATAGCAGAAGCAAACAGTATCTTAATTGCATGTCTACATCTCTCCCATTCTGGGCTGTGAGGTGAAGACAACTCTTTACAATATGCTACTACAAGGTTTTGTGAAGATGCCCAAGAGCATCCAGTGACACTGTACATTGCCACGTTCTCTTTTACCATCATACCTTCCCAGGTTGCTCATTCACCTATATGATCTCCAGTGCCCAGAGCTTTGTCCTCAGATGTCTATGCTGAGAAGAAAAACAACCACATGTTAAGGTGCTCACTGAAAATGTTCCCAAGATAGTAAGAGCATGTCCCTAAATTCCACATTCGTAAGTCACTAGCAATCCATCCCAAATGGTGATATTTCTGACATTGCAACAAGCAGGTAGTATAGTTTTTTTATGTTTGTTGGGGAAAGGGGGATGGACACGTCTTTAAAATCTGCTCTTAAATCACCCTAAATATTCCTTACTCTGCCTCTTCATGACTTCAGCCTTCATTTTAGAACTCACCTTTGAGAGAGGTAAAAACCTAGAAAATTGTAAGTTTCATGAAGACAAGGATTTTGTCTGATCATCACACCCTGAAATCCCGAAGCTATCAGACATTCCACATTTAGCAGCTCAGTGGCCAGCCTCCCAAAGCATGGCAGCCTGGGCTCTTTGGAGAGTGCTTTGTACTGGCCCTAAGAAATATAAATTACAGACTTCCCTGGCCTCAGAAATTCTTCCATCTGTCACACAAGCTTTCTCTGTGCCTTCCTGGCAGTCATTTCAATTTCCATGACATAAAAAAAGAAAGAAAATAGAAAGAAGGGGAGAGAAAAGAAGAAGAAAAAATGGAAGGAAAAAAATTAAAGTGTGGTCTACATCACAACTTAGGGTTTTGTTTAATGAATATTTTGATGTGAGAACTATACAATGACCTCAAGTTAGAAGTGCATTTTTTACATTGAAGGTGAGAGACCAATTAGTAGTGCTAACTCCTTAAACAGATGGTTATCATACGATAACGGAGGTGCCTGTCCTGTCCCTCGCCTTAGAAAGTCATCCTTTTTCTAATGTCTTTCTCTACAGAGAAAGGATATTATGCAGACAGATTGCGGGGCCCGGACATCTCTGCAAAGTGGAGTTTATAACAGGACATCTGGAGCCTGGCATCTTGTTCTTGGAAAACTGGTCAGGCTCCGCCCCTAAAAGCTGGCTCCAGAACAAAGTATAGGGGAAGGACTTCAGGTGCAGACAGAAAAACAAAGCTGATAAAATTCTCAGGTTCTGGACTCCATCCCAACCTGGAAATGGTAGACCTGCTACAGCTGCCCTTCAGTTGCCTGCAAGGAATTTTTCTTTTCAATGGCTCAGAAACTTACATATAAGAAAAGCAACTTGGGCTTGGGGGTGTTCTCCTACACCAGAGATTGAACCCAGAGTCTTGCACATGCTATGAGAGCTTCCTACCCCAGAGCTACACCCGGAGCCCAGTAAAACAGACTTGGAACTGAAAGTCTCTGGATGGAGACCCACTCTGTGCTTTATGAGAGAGGTAGCCTGAGTTCACTTAGTCGAACTTCCCAGCCCCACTCCCTTGTCCTATGAAATGGAACTAATATTCAGAGTGTAAGAGAGAGGCGAATACCACATGTAAATTCCTAACCTGCCACCACACACAAAATGAAATCAAGTGGCAAGGAGCCAGGCAGGGCAGACTAGCATCCTACAGTCCTCGACAGAGAAAAGGTAAGTAGTCAACATGTACCCAGAGTACTCTTATCTTTAGAGCCAACACAGCTAAAAGATCAGAAACCTAATAGAAACTTTGTAAACAGAAGTTGGAGTCTTCGTCCTACAATTTACTAGATGTGTAAGCTTAGGCAAGATTCACATCCTTTCCAAGCTTGGTTGTTCTTGTGTAAAATGAGCCAATGCCTACTCTATTGGTAGGACTGATGTGCTGATTACAGAACAGAGCCCATGGAGTTTAGAAGAGAGTCTGCACAATGAACATTTGCCTGTTCCTTTCTGCTTTCTCCTGCTTTCCTTCTGCTTTAGCTGTCCATTCTCAGCAGTAATTTGAGGTTTATCAGGAACAGTCCTCTTCAAACTTTTAAAATGGACCATGCTCATACATCTATCCCAAAAAGCCTGAGCTTCCATCCCTGCTCCAAAAGCTCAGTGCTCCATTCCCTAGATGTAGAAATAAAAGCAGGAGGGAATCTTGATGCCTGGCCAGAACTTACCGCTTCCCGGTTCCTGGTAAAGGACTCAGGTTTTTTTCTGTCTTGCTGACCCAGTTTCTGCATCTATAATATGGAAGAATGAGTAAGATATCTCCATAGATCCAACTACAAATTCTAGTTGATACTTCACCTGCCCACTCATGCAGTCCTACTCTAAAACTGCCCTTCCTCCTGAGCCACCAACACCATCAACATGCACTTGAATGTAATACACTGTTTTGTAACTGTGTAGTAAATAAATAAACAAATGCACACTGAGACCACTCAGACAGGATTCCCTGGGAGAGAATGCTATGGTCTCCATGACTTTCTGTAGCCTAGTTTTCTGAATTCTCATGGTCTCAGAGTGAAGGCCACATAGTAGAATATTAATCCCTTCCACCAGTGTCCTCAAAGCAGTGTCAGAACCTATTGACTCCCTAGTTCATACCTAGCAGTTGAGTATTTCAATAGTGAGTCATCAGCATACAAGCAATTAAGTGAGATGATTACCTTGTAAAGAAATACTGGGTAACTCTTAAATCAGTTGAAATCAAGGATTTTTATTTTTAAGAAAATACTTCATACATTTTCTAGTACCAGGAACAGAAATATAATATATGTTCAAAACACATGTTAATCCTTATAAATTATAAGTCTATATTTGTGATTAAGTTCTGAGCAAACTCCAAGAGATGATTTTCAACAAAACCAAGACCTAGAACTATGTCTTAGTCTGTTAAGACACTATTATAATGATTCTTTAAAGCTATAGGGAGCTCCAAATGACTATTTCAAGTGATTTAATGCCAATCTACCTGGAAACAAACAGTCTAGAAATTTCCTGTTCCCTCTTTGGATGATTCCTTCCTTCAAGAATTTCTGGGACATTCAGGAAAATTTGCCTTATAAAATGTTACAGATTTGGGTGAGCGAGGGAGAGGATGTCAGTGCACAGGCTGCTCTGATCTCTGCGCCTCCTCAGAGAACACTTAAACACCTCTACTGATGGGCTATCAATGAAGTGGCCATCACCCACACAGCAATCACTGTCTTCTAACTTCTTCTGTTTCTCCTTCTCTAATTGCTCCTCCTCTTTTTCTAACTTATCTATCAGTATTCTTTCTCAAATGACTGGCATGTACTATGGATTTCTTGTTCCCAAATGTGAGGAACAAGCCCATTCAAATTAGCTTCCAATGATACTTGGCCAACATTGGAGAATATACAAATGTTTGAAAGCAAGGATTCTATCCATCATCTACATGCCTAGCTCTATTTTCTTCTTTTGGATTGATCCCACAAAGACTCAAGCCATGGTAGCAAAGAGTGTCACTATGGGGGTGGGCTTTGGGGTTTCCTATGCTCAAGCTATGCCCAGTGTCACTTCCTATTCCCTGAGGATTATGATGTAAAGTTCATTCTCTAGTATTGTGTATGCCTGCACACCACCATGAGGATAATAGACTAAACCTCTGAAACTGTAAGCCAGTCCCAGTTAAATGTTTTCCTTTGTAAAAATTGCCAACATCATGGTGTCTCCTCACAAAAAATATAAACCCTAAACTAAGAGAGATATATTTTCTGATTGTTTACTGAGTGGAAGGTAGTAAAGGCTTTCAACACACTCTCACTTTATTAGGTATTATTTCATCTTCGAAGAAAGCCAAAGGAGAGGAATTTACTTATTAATGATTCTCCCAGTTCAAATTATCTTCACATGGGACTGATAATTTTTCAAGTAATTCACTTTCTGTAATTTTCTCTAATTTTTTGTTCCAAGAAAATTAAATAGAACTTGCCATGTGTTTCTGCTTCTTCCTGAAATAAAACTAGATATAATGTACGATGTCCCAGAGAGGTGTCAGGGGTCCACCCATGAGAACAGTGTGCTAATCAAACAGAGGTGAAGGCAAGCTTAAGGTAACAAGTTCAGCCTCAGCATCTCTTACTTCATCACTCTTACTATAAATCCAGTAAGACACGAGTTGGATGCCTATTACACCCCACTCCTGCCTTCAGGGACTTTCAGTAATTCTGGAGAAAGATGTCATCAAAGCTAGAGCAAACTAAGGCACAAGTAAGACCCAGTCAATGAGGGAAGATCGATCAGATGACTGTAGATTCATACTAGGACGTAGAAAGGCTTCATCAAGACCAAAGAGGGTCTTAAGTCTTCAAAATAGCATCACATGTTCTAATCCTATAGTCTATCATTGTATGAACAGAAAACCATTATCAAAAGAAAATATAGAGAAACACATTTTTTAATTGGATGGTTTACTTTGCTGATGTCTAGTTTCTAGAGTTTTTATGTATTTTGATGATCTGTCATATGTGGGGTTGATGAAGATTTTTTTCTCAGTCTGTAGGTTGCTGTTTTGTCTTATTGACAGTGTCCTTTGCCTTACAGAAGATTTTCAGTTTCATGCAGTCCCATTTACTGTTGATGTCAGTATCCATGCTACTAGTGTTCTATTCAGGAAAGTGTCTTCTGTGTCAATGCAATCAAATCTGTTTCCCATTTTCTCTTCTATCAGGTTCAGTGTAAGTGGATTCATGTTCATGTTGAGTCTTTGGTCTACTTGGACTTGAGTTTTGTATGGGTGGTATATATGGATCTATTTTCATTCTTCTACATACTGATATCCAGTTATGACAGCATGATTTGTTGAAGATGCTTTCTTTTTCCTATTGTATAATATAGCTTCTTTGTTCATAAGTGTATGGATTTATGTCAGTGTCTTCAGTTCAATTCCATTGATCCACCTGTCTGTTTTTATGTCACTACCTGGCAGTTTTTATTACTAAAGTTCTGCAGTTGAGCTTGAAATCAGGAATGATGATATCTGCAGAAGTTCCTTTATTGTACAATTATGTTTTAGCTATCTTGGAATTTTTGTTTCTTCATATGAAGTTGAGTATTTTTCTTTTAAGGTCTATAAAGAGTTGTGTTGGAATTTTGATGGGGATTACATTGAATCTGTAGATTGCTTTTGGTAAAATGGCCATTTTTGCTATGTTACCTGTTTTTCTATTGTGGAATATTTGTATACTGTGTAAAAATGCATTGTTGTGGTTGGTTTAATAAAAAGCTGAATGGCCAATAACTAGGCAGAAGGTGGGAATTCCAGGCAGATAGAGATCTCTGAGAAGAAAATGGCAGAGCCACTGGCCAGATGTGGAGGAAGCAGCATGGGTAATATAGAGAGATGAGATAATAAGCCACATGATAGAATTTATATTAAAATAGATGGATTAATTTAAGTAGTAAAATCTAGTGGCACAAGCCTAGCCTAAGGCTGAACTTTCACAATGAATAATAAGCCTCAATGTGCTATCTGTGAGCTGGCAGACCAAGGAATATCCTACTTCATATGGTGCCCAATGTGGGGCTTGAGTATCCAGTTAGGGCCTGAGAAAGTGTTCTCTCGAGTAGGCTTGTCATACAGAGGCCCTGCTGCACAGTCAACTACTTGAGCAACGGGCAGTGGTTACAAATTCCTGCTTCAGGAAAACACAGCACATTCCCAGAGCTGGAGCAGATAAATGGGGCTCTGGATCCAGTACCTACCATCATGAGCCTAGGCTCTCATAGAACTGAGGGGGTCAGAGCCAGTACACCATATGCTAAGCAGATTCTTAAGATTTGGTTTACATGGGCAGAGGAAGCTGAAGATGTGCAAAAAATACAAATAAAAATAAATCCAGGTCCAGGCTGATATAACCCCTAAAAGGATACAGTGTGCTTTATGTTTAAAAATGTGCTTAGGGATTAAATAAATAAAACAATAGTAAAGTTTTCAAAGAAAGAGTAAAGTAATATAAAAATAATAAGCCACATAAGAATGGAAAATACACAAGGCATCTGGATCCTGTATGGATACTTTGTTGACTTTGAATTTTCTAAATGCTAAAGCCAAAGCAATGACAAATGAAAGACATTGGATTATTAAAACTGCTAAATTTAACCAACATATATATTTTAATAATGTCTTCACTTCAGAATGGAAGTCAAAAAATATGTTGTGTTGGGGGAGAGTTTGTGCCTTTGTTTCCATAGGAAACAAAAAGTTATGGTTATCTTCAAAATTAATGAAGATTAGATTTGATTGGTAGAGAACTCCTGAGAATCTTGGCTACAGACATGAAAAAGAAAGCAAAAAAGACTACAGGTCAGGTGATGCATATACTGATCCCTCTGCTATGGGAACAGCTCTGAGACTAGATGAGACATGATAAATTTTATCAGCTACAGAATCCTTTCATATAGTATGGATAGGAATTTGGCTATCCAGTCCAAATGGACTTATAAAATTGACAGATATATTTTACTAGCTCAAACATAAAATTAAAAAATTCATCTTTAGCAAATTTGTACACATTCCATACTTGTGTTAGTGCAGATATATGTTGCCTTTCAAAGTTTATATGTTTACAGGAAAAAAAAGGACCAAAAACCAATAAAGACAAGTATTCAGTTGATCCAGCCTCTCATAATGCCTCTGTTGCAGTTTGCTCAAAAATCTACATCCAGAACAACTTCAAAGCTGCTAACTGACATGGTCCAGCCTCACAGACTATCCAGCCAAGATTTCAAATAAGCTCTACACTTTCTCATCACAAAGAAACTAAACAAACAAACAAAATACATCTAGCTCTTCCAGGACTTGATCATTACCCAAATATTTTCAGCATCCCCTAAAGATTCCATCACCCCCAGACAACAGGAAGCAGTCTGGAGAACATGGCATCCACATTCTCAATAGGTGATGTGGGTGGTTTTCATCATTAGGTAGGTTATGAATGATTGTCATCATTTGGGAGGTTGTTTATAAGTTGTTTTTGGTCATGGTCAGAAAATAAGCTGAACAAAGGAAATTAAATTCAGGTATCTCTTTCTAAAGGAAAAAGGGGAGATATAGTATAGAAATGATGGGATAAAAAGGGGTGGATTGTTGATTCTACTTTTGAACAAACACCAGTCTCAAATATTTTACATTAGTATATTTGTATGGTTTTGGTATATTGATACAAATTTATGTTCCTAATATATATATGTATATATATATATATATATACAT